ACGTGCTCTTCGCCGTCTGCTGTCCCTCGGGGAGACTCGCCGAAACATTTCCGAAGAGATTGGAGGACACTCCAACATTTCCCTTCTATCCAGAGAAGGAGGACGCTGTGTACCGAGAAGGCATCTTTGTTGGATACCGTTACTACGATATAAAGAGGATCGAGCCACTATTTCCATTTGGTCACGGTCTCAGTTACACTGAGTTTCAGTACAGTGATCTTGCCGTCGAAGTGAAACACACTAAGAAGGAGAATCAAAGTGACACTACTCTTGATGGTGGCGCCCAAGACGTTCTCGTCTTGGTCTCGCTTACAGTGAAGAACACAGGAAAAATGGCTGGCAAAGAGGTTGTACAGTTGTATGTCCAAGACGTGTATGCACCAGTATTACGCCCGGAGAAGGAACTCAAGGAATTTGCAAAAGTGCTTCTTCAACCTGGCGAGTCCAAGCGGGTGACCTTCGAGCTGAACAGAAGATCTTTTGCATACTATGATGAGAAGGCGAAGGAATGGCGTGTGCACGACGGCAAGTACACAATCCTTGTTGGTGCATCGTCCCGTGACATTCGTCTTCAGGCACAGGTAGAAGCGTTCCATGAAAAAGTGAATGATATTCCGGAGATTCACCGTAACATTGCGATAAAGGAGGCGTTTCGTTTCCCTGAGACAGTGCAACAGGCAAGAGAATTGATGAACCGACTTGGAATTTCTGGGATGACTGAGGGAACTCCATTCTACGAATTGTTCTCCAACTTCTCCATCCGTGCCGTCTGCCGCATGGTGGGTGTTAATGATGAGGAAATGGAAGGATTTCTCCAGAAGCTTCGTCTTGCCAGCTCCAAGGCCAAAGCAAAAGGATCCAATGGAGCGGAGTAAGGTGTTGGTTCCACAACCTTGTGATAGTTTCAAAACGAATTTTTTTTTTTTTTTTTCATATAAATCGTGCTTTTTTTTTCTCCCCCCTTTCTGTTCATGTCACAGCAATGTTTCTGTTCATCTACAACAGATGGCAATAATAATAATTTTTTTTTCTTCCTCTGCATATGTGGATATGAGGATCTGTGCTGGGGTCGACTCTGTGTTTTTTTTACGGATGGGATTTAATTTATTTTCACTAATTATGCTTCTTATCAGTGAAGCATAACCAAGGGTATAAGGGTTTTTTCTTCAGATACAAAGAACAGCCCACTGACTTTCTGTTTTTTTTTTTTCTTTTTTAAGATTTTCCATAGGGTATGTGAGGATTTTTTCCTGTGTCTGATAGGAGTAGTGGTGAGGTATTATCCCATTGACTGATGCCAGACACAAGAAAAAAAAACTTTGGGTGCTTTCTCTCTTTATTTTGACATTATGTTTCGCAATAGAATGAAAAGCTATCAGCATGATTAAATGTTTTTTTTTTTTTTTCTTTTTCTTTTCCAGACTTGTCGACACACCATTCCATTTCCATCTGGGTTCTGTGGCGCAGGCGACCTTTCACTCACGTATAAGTGAGCTTAATTTTACATGATTCTATGAGTATGCAAAGGGCTATGAAATGTGGACTATTATTATTATATATTTTTTTTTATGAAAAGAGAAAGTGGTAGAGAGGGATGCGATATTTTACAAGAAGAAAGGAGGTGAGAGGAGTTCTTGGTAACAAGGGTATACCACCATAATAGATGGGAGACAAAGTAGG